CACCTTTACTTTCCACTTCTACGCCGCCACCATCTCCTCCTACTCCTTCAGGAGCTATGCCACCACCTTTACTTTCCACTTCTACGCCGCCACCATCTCCTCCTACTCCTTCAGGGGCAATTCCACCGCCATTACTTTCCACTTCTTCACCGCCACCATCTCCTCCTACTCCTTCAGGGGCTATGCCACCACCTTTACTTTCCATTTCCCCGCCGCCACCATCTCCAAATGCACAAAGTCCACAGCATAATGCACCTAAGCAGCCACCACCGAATAGTCATTCATCGCCAACACCACCACCACCAGCTCCTAATAAGAAACCTGAGAATGCAGTTTGGTGCGTGGCTAAGCCAACTGTACCAGCAGACTTGATTCAGCAGGCGTTGGACTATGCTTGTGGTTCTGGGGCTGGTTGTGATGCCATACAGCCCAACGGGGCATGCTACCAGCCGGCTACGTTGCTTTCTCATGCTTCTTACGCTTTCAACAGCTACTGGCAGAAGAAAAAACAGGGCGGAGGGACTTGTGACTTTGGAGGAACTGCTATGCTCGTCACTGTTGATCCAAGTAAGACTCTCAACTAATTAAAAGCTTTACTCTATGAGAATACATTACAAACAACAGTTACCTTAACAATTACAGTTACACATTAATAGGCAAAAAGGGTTGGAAGTACCTCCACTGACAGTGTGGCCTCGGCATGATCTAACTTATATACACTGGCAGTGTACCCTTAGTCCTGTGATATATCGTTGACCTTGTCTGAACATTTTGACAGGTTATGACCAGTGCCGTTTCACCTGCAACTGATTGTGGAACACAACATTTGAGATTGAGAGGACCCCAAGACCGGATAGGGAGATATTTGCATATGTTATTTTACTACGAGGGACTGATGTAACCTCATACGGTTCTTGTCTGTTTTCTTTTTCTTTTTTGTTTCTTCTTTTAAAAGAACTCTATGGTGATGTACTACTTCTTCACAATTATATGGGACATAATAGACGACCCTTAAATTTTTGCCAACCTTTGTCAATAAAGAAAAATGAAGCAAAAGCCTTTATCAAATAGTCCAATATCCAAAATAGATACTCCCCAAGTGTAGAACTTCAATTTCACTCATACCCCAATTCCAACTAGCTCACCCATAGCTAGTCCGGTACATTAACATCCAAAGAGGAAAACTCTGCTACAATACCATTAGTAATATAGGTGTCTAATTTCCTCTAATAATGGAAGAGGACGATATGCAACATATTGACAACTAGAATGATCTGTGTGAAGCCGACCTATGGATAGAAAGAAAGATGCAGGAAAGAAAAGGCAAATAAAAGAAGAAATCAAAAATTGCTTTAGGGGTGCGTTTCTTTACGACAATAAAGCTCAAAAGATTTCTTTGTACGAACTTATGGGAACCAAAAGGCTATTTAGTTCCCCTAACTTCAGTAACATAACCCGGAAAGGCATGTGAAGCACCCATTACTGAAAGCAGATGGTGCTTTTGCAGTCCATTAGTTTATCTAAGTCAATGAAATCAAGCCTTTTTGTTATCTACGGGAGTAGGGCTGTAAATGGGGGCAGCGGGGGGCAAGCCTTGACCTGCTAATGTTTTGTCCCACTCTGCCTTGCCCTATTTAGCTTTTTTTTTCAAATTTGCCTTGCCCTCCCCGCCCCGCCATGCCCTGTGCCGTTTAGACTCTTTTTTATTTTTTTTCTTTAATTTTTTATTAGGCCATGCAGGGAAAGCAATCATGGCTTTTGCTGGTGATCAAGCTTAAAACATCCATTACACTCCTAATGACAATTCTTCGTCTGAAACTGCCAATCTGAACTTCACAGCCAAAGCCGATAGAACACGTGTCGCTTTCTATAGTACTTATTATAATAGGAGAAGTGATGATATGAGCTCTCTCTGTGGAGTGTGGACCTGTTGTTGTGATGCGCGGGTTGAATTGTCAGGGTCTAGCAAATTAGGGTGTTAGGATTGTGGTTTGTGTTTGGGTTGCTGGTGTCATTAGTTTTTGTTTAGATTTACTAGACTAGTAGTAGCGTCTGCTTTATTAAATAGTATATACCAGTAAATGTGTATGGTCTGGCAAGGAAGTGTAGGAAAACCATATCTTCTAATAGATATCAATATGAGAAATCTAGAAAACACACGGTTGTCCTGTCTTAATAGTTTTTACTTGGTGGGAGGAACATGCATCACCATTCATTTATACAAGTTGCAAAGAAAATCTGAAAGATATACAAGTAAAAAGAATCTTCTGTAATGACACGTGAATTTAGATTAGACTTCGAGAAATGTTAATTGACAAGCAGTTGGATAACTTTGCAAGGAATCAAAGAAAACAACAGCCTATCTATTTGTAACCTTACAAATCCATTTGCTTCTGTTTAAGAAAGGATATTACTAAACATAGCACCCATCTTCATTTTTGCTGATGCATTAACCATTGTATCAGTCATATAATTTCAACCACAATACAAGCTTGACACCACTAATTACACCACAAAAACAATAAATATTAAACAAAACTACAAAAGCAACAGCAGGCAATCCAAATTTGAGAGGAACAAAAGGGTTGTAAGCATGTCAAGGGTCTCATAGTTGCAATAAACCACTTGAATCTGGCTCGTCCTCTTCATCACACAATGTTGGACATGAAACTTAATCAATCGTTGAAGCCAAACCTAAAAGGAAAAATGCATAGTTCAATGTATCAATATCGTATTAAATAATTGAATACCTATTAAGACAATAATGAGAAAATTACTTACTATTTAAGTCATTCCGTAACCATGTGCGAGCACACATAAAAGCTTACAAAGTAGTTGGATGGAGTCTACTCAGATGCGGGATAATCAACCTCCCACTAATGCTAAATGTTGATTTCGAAACAACGGTAAACACGGGAATGACTAAGAGATCACGAACCATTTTTGTAATGTAAGAAATTTTAATCCATTTGTCTTCCACCAACTCAAATTGTCAAATGAAGGAGTTCGAGGTAGTAGGTCTTCTCCTAAGTACATATCCAACTCTGATCTTTTATCCATGGTAGCTCCAGTTGAAGCTACAAATCTATCAAAGCTCGAAAGCCGATCACCCTGAGTAAAACTAGTGACTTCACTAGAACTAGATGCTAATGAATCATGTGGAGTAGATAATTTACTCTTATAATCTTAAAAGAGATCAATTGGATCGAACTTCTTGAATTTTAGTTGAAGCTTCTTCACGATAAATTAGTGGAAGAAAGAACTCTACCAACCTCATCTTGTATCGTGGATCAAAAATTGCAACTACTCCCATCAAAATATGCACATCATCCTAATATTTTTAAATTTTAACAACATTGCAGATGCCATATCGCTAATCAAAGGATTAAACTCATTTACCTAAGCTTCTAACTCTAGCTTAATTTCACAAACTTTTGTAAAGTATTGACTGGATGTTGGATATTGAGTTCCTGAAAATTGTTCAGTGATATGATAAAAAAGTTTGAGCTTATCAGAAATATCTTTTGCATTACTCCATTGCTCTTCAGTTGGATACGACTAATAATTTGTGTCAGTTAGACTCAACTTATTAAACACCTCTTTGTATTCTATAGTTGTTCTCAACATTTAATATATTGAGTTCCACCGAGTAGGACAATCATACTCTAACTTCTTATTACAAGAACAGTGAACCAAACGTGCGGCTTCTTCAAACCTCTCAATTCTGTCAGCTGATCCAATCTAATACAAGACACTATCATGCACTTTGCTAATACTATCTCCTATCACCTTTAACCCTTCTTGCACAATCAAATTTAAAATATGTGCAGCACAACGCACATGAAATACTTGACCAATCAACAACAAATCTTTTTTATCAAGTTTCTCATCCAATAAAGTTTTAATCATAGCATTGTTTGTGCTAGAATTATCAACTGTGATAGTTGATATTTTTCGTTCAAGATTCCAATCAAACAAACAATTAACCAAAGTACCACACAAAGCAGCTTTATCATGTGGAGCAAGGACATAAGCAAATCTCAGAATATGACTTTGAAACCTTCATGAATCATCAACGAAATGACCAGTAATAGCCTTGAACCCTTTTTTGTTACTATTGGAAGTCCATATATCGATTGTTATTGCAATTCTACTCGTGACTTTCTCCAACAACTTAGAAGTTTGCGATTTCAAATTGTCAAAAAATTTTATTATGTCATTCTTGATTGTATTTCTGGAGACCATCTTAAACATAGGTTGGAGACTCGCAACAAAGTTCCTAAATCCCACATGATCAACTAGAGAGAGTGGATACTCGTGTAAAATAGTGGCAGGTGCAAGGTATTTACGTGAAACATCTTGATCAAAATAACCACCCCCATCTTGATCAAAATAACCACCCCCAGTTATGAAAGTTGAATATTTGTGAGGTTAACCAGTATTTCAATTGATAATACACCTTCAATCTTGTATTTCATATTCGGCAGAGTTGAGACTAAGAAGTTTAGAGAAAGAGAAATTGAGAGCATTACCTAGATTTGCTGGAGAAAACTTTGCCCCAAGCCCGGAGGAAGAAGAATCGAAGAAGGTTTGAGGTTTGAGGAAGCAGAATCGTAGGAGAGTTTCTGCGTTTGGGAATGGGAGGGTTTGAGCGTTTGGAGATTTTAGATTTGGGGGAAAATAACAAAAGTATGCAAGTCTAACTTATTTTTACCCGACTATTAAACCATAATGTGCCCTACCCTACCCTGCCCCATTAAACTTTTTGAAAAATAACACTTTGCCCTGCCCCGCTCCAATTAAGGTTAGCCATGTCCCGCCCTGCCTCAATTTCCATCCCTATAAGGGAGACATATTTGATAGAGGTTCTGTCCATCCCTATACGGGAGACATATTTGATAGAGGTTCTGTCCATACTGGTAATAATAATAATCAAAAGAAAAAGGATGGGCTCTCCTTGGTGTGGGGAAGAAGTGAACTCTACATATACACTAATTCAGTTAAGAAATCAAACTGCAACAGGAGCTTCAGTTGCATAAATATTTTCACATTCATCTCTTATTGCAATATGTTCATCAGATAAACCTAAAAACCCTATTGGCAAGGTTAATCAAACTCGTCAATTGGACATATGACATTCTGGCGGTATGCCACGATCAAGAAGACAAGACATGACAGGGAAGCTAGCAGAAAATTTTACTTCTTAAGGACATAACAGAAGGTTTTACTTCCGGTAACGAGCCCTTCGGTTTCATGACAAGATAAAAGTAACACAATGTGCCAAAATGTTCTGTCCATGGAACAACTTGCATGCTTCTCAAGTCTACTATCTCTTCCACAACCTTAACGGAGACATGCCTCCTGTACCAAACAGTATTAGGTAATTACTGTTTTTTTTTATACTATTAAGCACAGTGATTATCCACAAGATACCCTTTATGGAATTCCAGGCCTCTACTACCCTGCTTTGACGTGACTATTTTCAGAGAAAGCTATAATAGCATCTATGATCATTTGAGCCAATCTTTCTCATCATCTACCAAATCTTTGAATTCTGCGACGCCGTAATTCTTCCAATGATAGGTCTTCAATCTCATCTGTGGAACTAAGAGATGACAACCCATCATCAGTACGACTTGTGCCACACATTTCACAAACACTTAACCAGCCTGAATTATCAAATGTACATGCTTCGCATCTCCACGTTTGAGATGTATCTCTTGTCTGCCTGCCACCAACGGTTCCTCTACCAGCAATTCTTGGTTGGCTTCGGAATAAGCACTTCACAAACCTTAAAGGCCAGTTCAGTGCATGGGTAAAACCTCTGATGACGTTCCTTAGTGGATTTGCACCTGAATACGATGCTTTTAAACGCAAAAACAGAAGGCCAGCAAGTATTCCACCAAGGTGCCCAAGAAATGAGACACCGGGTACAAACATTTGTATGAGAATGAGTTCTGCCCAGGCAGCGTATCGAGTAGGCACCAGCAGCCCATGCACATATGTATAATCATCTGATTGTGCATTGAGAATAACTTTCATAGCAAAGAGGACACCAGAAAAACCCACAGCATATTCCTTGTAGTAGGGTCTCTCGTAGTCAAAGAATAAAAGAAGTGATTTTGCAAGTAATAGTGTAATGCCCTGGGACATAGCAACTAAGGCTGCAACTGTCGATGCAAATTCTGCACTTCCCATTGATGTCTCCAATTGTATCCCCTTCCACAGAAGAGAAAGCATATTGTAGACAAGGTGAGAATCGTTCACATGGTAGAACGCTGACAGGAAGAATCGTTTCAGATCCTTGTACTGCATAAAAAAGAAAAATGTCTATCAGGTGAAGACAATATAACAGTTTGTCCAACCGGACTTCCAAACACCCTGACATACAGCTCAAGACAAGAGTTGCAGTCATATGATTCACTAACAATACGGAAGAGAAGCAACATCAAAAGCAATGGCAAAAGGAATTTAGGAGTGTGAACATATCAAGTCCACGGGGCATGTATGTCTAAAATTACTATAGTATGAAAAAATTCACAAAAAAATTCACAAAGTCCATACTTGACAGAGAACTCGTATTTTATTTCAGAAAATACCATAATAAAGAAGCCAATGAAAGCATGCAAATTCTTGTAACAGCAGAGGAAAACTTTACAACTTTTGATCAACACACTCATTTGTATCTTCTAAAAACTATATCAACAAAATGTGCAGCTTGCGAGCAAAAACTTATAACCTCAGACACACTTATCAGTTATAAAGGATTGGCATTCCTGACAGAGAAATCTGCATTTAGAAGGAATATAACACGTTAATTGAAGAAAATATCTAGACCCTATAAGCTTATTTTTCAGAGAGAGGATAGAAATATGATATCGGAATCATTTACTACACCTATCAAACAACTCAGAGAAGCTTGTTCTTCCTAATAAGACGAAGTTTTCACACAATATTCACAGCATAAAGAAACAAATTTAAGAGGAACAATAAAGTTACACTTTCAGCAGAATTTGTTGAGTTAGATAGGAAAAAGAGATACCCGTTATAAAAAGATATTGCAATCTTGTTGCTATAAAAGAGAAACTCAATACTAAACAAAGATTTCCAAGTTCATCACATGATAGAATAGCCAATAGCTGAACAAAAAAATTGACATGCCACATTAGAGATTAGAGATGATGGCTTTCTAAGGGTAGATTTAATGTGTTAAGTTCAAATTCAAGGCCCATATATAATTCCCTATGACCTGTTCCACGTCTACACCATTGTCTCCCCTTTCCCACTCCAGCATGTATTTGTTTTGAGAATTGACTCCAGCATGTATTTGTTAGATATGTAATATGGGGAAATGTGAGTAACCAAGAAGTCAACAAAAAGTTACAAAAAAAGTGAGCATTTATTGGCAGCACATATTTGTTGGATATGTAACACGGGGAAAATGTGAATAGCAATGAAATTTCAACAAAATTCGAATGGATCATCAAATGGTTGGCAGAGCTACTCCATCAGTGTACTTGGGGCTCTAAGAATCTTCACTTCAATAGCATCATAGAATGAACTATTGAAGCCAAAACTAAATAAATCGCCTATATTGAAAGAGCCATTTACTGGTACACATCCAGCTTTAACCAAACTTATAGCTTACTTCAAGAAATCTATCCTGCGGTGAATGGCCGTATTGTAAATATGCAGTTACAAAAAGAAGTCGTTCGAAGAATTTTTTTTTTTTTTTTTTGAGAAGGTAAAGCGTCCAGTATATTCAAAAAATCATCCAAAATAGGCAATTACAATATGGAAAAGCAAAAATATAGTCCTTGTTCGAAGTAATATTGCTATAACATCTAACACGATTTCAGGCCTTGAAATTATTTCAATATTGAACCCTGGACACCTAAGAGTAGCAAATCCAGCAACAACAACAACAACAACAACAACAAAAAACCTAGTATAATCCCACGAGTAGGGTGTGGAGAGGGTAGTGTGTACGTACACCTTACCCTTCAAGGTAGGGAGGTTGTTTCGGATAGACTTCCGGCTCAAGGAAGAGTACCAAATCCAGCAGGTGTCAGAATCTATACATCGTGTTATCACTTAGCATAGTTACGTGCTATCACCCGGTGTTTTCACCAAACCAATATACTTTACCATAGTTAAGTAATAAATAAGGTGAAAATGGACATTAATTAACCACAGTAAGGTGATAAAAGAGTACGCGAAAGACACATACCACGTTATCATTAGATGTGGGTAAGTTTTTACCACACAAATGCAGCCTTAGTGCTACGAATGCAACCAAACCCAGAAAAAAACAAAATTTTAGCAAATATTAGCTTCTCAACTCATAATTTTAAAAGTATATTAAAGTTAAGTCCTAAATTTTTTTAAGGTTGAACCCATCCAAGTTAAAATCCTAAATCCGTTACAAAAATTTGAAGGCGATGATAGGATTATACCTTAAGGATGAGGTGAGGATTAAACCAGACTTCACTGATGGTAGGGAGTAAAGGATCAAGAAAACTGGGCCTTAAGTATATCATTGTATTAGCCGCAAGAAGTCCTGCTGTAACCGGCGGTTTCCTCTCCAGCCTGCAGTATTCGCTTACTGTATGCAGCGCTAACAGAGGTAGCATCCCACGTGATACTGAACCCCACCTACCCCTTCCTCTTTCCATTGCTAATTTGTGTATTTGTTGAAAGAATTGCAACTGTAGGAACAAGAGAATTGATCCAAATTTGTACCGTTTTACTTTCTTTAAATTGTCACCAAATTGGAGATGACGGTGGGAATTTGAATGAATTATGATTTCTGTTTACGAATCTTCGTCAACAAGAAAAGAGTATTCCAGATGCTTCGTTTGCCTTCCTGTATCCAAAAGGGCGCTATTCGGAATTGATGGGTCGATGCCGTACCCCAGATTCGACCCGAGAAATTCAGCAGGCGTGGTTAGCGTTTGTTACCAACAAGAATTTAATCTCTGTTTTCTTTTCTGATTTTCGGTTTTTTCAAAAAGAAACATTCAACTGTTTTTTAAACATACACGTGAGTATTCGGGTTGGATATGAAAATTATACAAAATTTAAATTTTAGATTCGGCAAAAGTAATTCAATCCAAATAAATTCTAATCGAATCATATATACGGTAAAAATCAGAAGGTCCGATTTTGTGATCATTAAGGCACCTCGTAAAGATCGCCCCCAAAAGGCTCGAAGTTCGGCTCGAGGTTCGACCCCGAGGGTTCCTCACGTTCGACCTCGAGACAGTGCAAATCGATGATTATCATGAGAAAGCGGGAAGTTCCCAAGGCATATGATCAAAGCTGACAAGACCTACAAGAGAAGCCCTAGTCTGTACCAAACTAGTAAATAGCTGTACCAGCTATATTTCTTTATAATAAATGCATCTGCACCATGTTGAGATTTCCCCTCATATATAAAGGGGATCCTTGTCATTTTGTAAGGAGGATATACATGAGACTAAGCTCTGTCTCCATCTACATGAGGCTAGGCCCTGCCTCCATATCTGCATGAGGCTAAGCACTACCTCCATTTTGCATAAGGCTAAGCTCTGCCTTCCATCTGCATGGGACTAAGCCTTGTCCCGAATCTTGCATAAGGCTAAGCTCTGCCTCCTATTTGCATAAGGCCAATCATCGCCTTTATTTGCCGAGACTAAGCACTATCTCTCGGGGACTATCTATTTGCTCCTCTTTCGGGCTAAGCTCTGCCCTCAACCTCACAAGACTAAGCCTTGTCTTGTTGATTTTAGCATCATATTATTGCATCTCATGGGCTGAAATATCGCCAACTTGTCCAAAGGCGTCATAGTCCGAAGGCATCATACTCATAGCCCGAAGACACCATGCCATGGCCTAAGGATCTCTTAAATTTGCATATCATTATTCAAAGGCGTCATGGTTCGGAGGCACCATTTTCATGGCCCGAGAACATCATTTCATGGCCTGCGAATCCCTCATTGAACAATTCATGGCCCAGGACATCATGGTCTAAGGACGCCATCCTCAACCGTCCAAAGATAACTTTCATGGTCTGAAGGGAATCTACATCATGTTTAAATTTCCGCACAAATATATGCTCGTAGTATCTCTTTATTTGCAGGTGACCGATAAGCAACCGCTACCCCAACAGGAGCAATCCCGCTCCGATCCCTTCAAACTATCTCAAACCTGACCTCTCACCACAACCATTCTTCACCTATTCTCTGTTCTTGCTTCATCGGTATATTCCGCCGATGAATCCGGAACTACACATGGTCTGATTCCTGTAAAACCAGGGATATGTAGGCAGCTCAAAGACTAGAGTCTGACCTCTATTTTTCAAAAACATCCCATTCGATCAAAATTGGCCATCATTTCTTTACACGAAAACTCTTTCATCCTTCCCGGGTAAAGAGGGACAGCTGTTGATACCCAATTTTTCCCTATAATACTTTTTAAATGCATATATACCTTCAAAACTATGCATTAACATCAATTGATATTTTTTCATAATTTCTACATTTTTAAATTAATTCATTCCAGTATTTTATTTATATAAATAATTACAAAAATTGCATCACAAGCGATCTTACAACATTTCATGATCCAATTTTTGCTATTTATAGTCATATTAAGTTCAAATTATTTCACAAATGGTCAGATTTACACTTTTTGGTTACAATTGCAATAACTTTGCAATTATAGCCCATGTATACATTATTGCATTATTTTACCAGAAAATAGTTTATTGTATTTTTAAAATATTGAGTAATCATTTTAAAACATTTCTACTCGTGAAAATTATTTTTATAACCAATTAATTATTTTATAAAATATTTTTTTATAAATTGTTTGGGCATTTAACAAATAGCCCCTTTTATTTCAGACCTGACCTCTTTAAAACCAGCCCAAAACCCTTTTTAAAATTAGCCCATACCCTTTTGGCCCAATCTGCTTACCCCCGACCCACTAGCCCGTTCAATCGTGGCCGTTGATCATTTTGATCAACGGTCCACGATTATCCTTACCTTAATTAACCCCCTTAAACTACCCAAACCCTTCTCATTCTTTCCCTCACCCGCCGTCATCATCTCCCTCGTCTCAAACTCCCTCTCAACCTAACCCTAATGCTAAAACGTCGTCACCGGCGTGAACCGCTCCTATGGCGCTTCTATGTCTTCTCCGACCAGACCAGGTCTTCTACACGCCATGGGTTTTCGATTTCTTGGGTCCTTGAGAAGATCTCAAGGGAACCCCAACTGGTTCCGGTTTGAAACTTTGTTTATCAGCCTGTCTCAGGCCATTTTCCGTCTCTGAATAAGAACTTCTTCTTGTTTTATTACGGATCTATGGGTTCTTGACCTATTCTCTCATCTCTACTACTTTTCTGAAAACCCTAGCTCGATACTGTCGATTCTTCTCAGATCTTTACAGGTCTGAGATGATTCGAATGTTATTAAGTGATTTCCCTCAAAAAATCTTTAATTTAATTGATTATTCCGATTTTTAATCACTCTTCCTAAACTAGGGTTCATCCCAAGTTGTTTTTCAAAGGTTTTTCTGACTTCTAAGTGTTTGATTAATTATTCTTTCATCTTCGTGACTGATTTGTGCAAGAATATGTAAACCCTAGTTGATTCTATGTGGTTCCTTCAATCTTTGCTTCGATTTTGGGTATTTTTTGTGATAACAGTCGTGTTAGTTTACTCTATCTTTAGGACTTAAACATTTTTTCTTGTTAAATCCAGTATTTTTGTGGTTTTGTCCTAATTAATCTTTGTTAGGGTTCGAACCTGCTTTTCCGGCTAAGTTCTATATTTTTTGTGAGGTCTTACTTAGTTTAATCTCTATTTATGGAATTTGAGTAATTCTTTCCGGAAATCAATATTCTTTTGAAGGTTTTGCTGATTACTTTACTCTATTAAGATTCGTGTGCATAGATTTTATTTATTTCCTTGTTTATGACGTTAATTGGTCATCTCTGCCTTAATTGATTGCCCGTATAATTTTAGGATTCTTACCGATTCCTTATTTAGTATGATTTGGACTCCTTGCCTAAATTAAACCCTTGTTGTTACCGTTAATCAATTACTCCTAATTAAGGGGGTCTATTGTGAACCCCTTTATATGATTTGATTCTGTAATTCTGTGTTGTCCCTAATTGACTGCTTCTGATTCTTTTACCTTATTTGTTCTACTCCTAAAGTGCTATATATACACTCTTGTTTTACCTCTCAACACACGAACAATTAGTTCAAAAAAACACACACACACACACAAAATTCTCTCTTCTCTCTCTGCTGCTTGTGCTAACTGCTTGTCTAGCCGGCTGAAAGCCAAGGCTAGACTGTGGAACTCTACCTGCTTTACTTTCTGCACTTTGCTTCCTTAACTGGTATGTTCCCAGTTCAATTCTGAAACTCAACTCTATGTGCTCCATGTCTGTTAATCCATGTCTCCTTCTGCACTAATTTAATGGCTTATGTATTTAATTGCCCTTCTTGTTTACTGCTTTATTCAGCATGCTTAAGTTTTGCCCTCTCTTGTTCAAATGTGTAATAAGCATGTTTGGGTCTCACTTGTCTTGTTTGATACTTGGGCCAGCATGTTTACTTGAGTTCCTGTTTATTTCCCTCAACTAGTATGCTCGTGTTAGTATCATAGACTCCTAATGTACTTGATTAACACTAAGCGACATGACAAATTCTGTGTAACAGACTCTTGTCCTCAGCATGACTACTCCCATACCCTGTCTCTAAGTCTTACTACCTATTACTATTCTAATTTTCGAGCATGATTCCCTTGTTAACACTTTGAAGTAGTAGTTTTGTGTTCTGGATGTCAATCAGTTCCTACTTGTTCTTTGTACTTGCTGGTCTATATGTTTCTACTCTTATCCATGTTTATGTGTTTCTGATTTGAGCTCTCTATTCGTCCCCAACCCCCCCTCTACCCCCCCCCCCCCGATCCCTTGTTTGTAAAGCTGTTTGTCTTCACTTAGAATCAGGTAATAAATGGCTCTGAATCTGGGAACTCTAAGTTTTTTTGTGATTGTGTGTTTTCTCAGAATTGCTTCCAAAACTGTTTTCACTCTTAGCATTTTTCCTAAAACTGTGTCTATTCCTGAAAACCTTTTCCACTCCTGAAAGTTTTACTTCAACACTGTTTTACTAAGTTCTTCCAAACTATGTCAAGCACTCCCACTTTTATTCTTAGATTATTTAAGTTCTGTCCTTCCAGTGTGTGTGCCGCCTAGGAATCCATGAGATTCCTCCGTACTCTGGCACACTGGGGCTGGCCCCTCCACACTGCACATAACTAGTTTCTTTATTTAAGAAAGGGTCTTGGTGTGAGCATTGCCCGGGATCCCTGGGGTCCTTAGGGAACTTTGACGCACCAGGATACCCCATTGGATACTATGGCATCTTGGACTGTTTTGAAGGCCTGGTATTCCCAGGTTCACTTTGGGCCTATTTCAGGCCCCCTATAGCGTAACTTATATTCATTATGTAATTCATTCATTTCTGATCTGTAATAATAACCTTTGTAAACAGATATTAGGGGATTTAGTAAAAGGGGAGGGATTCCTATATGATTTTTGTGAGGGAAACCGAGTAGAAATCATGCCTTTAGGTTTGTTATGCCTATTGGTATTAGAAATCATGCCCTAGGTCTGTTATGTTACGTGCATTAGAAATCATGCCTTAGGATTGTCATGTTTACTATTTTTTGCATACTAGAAAGCCTGTTACGGACTCATCATTTCATTCTGCTTCTGCATAATCACCTAGAAATCCTATTATAATTCTGCCTAATAAAATGACCATTCTTTATGTGCATTAGAAATCCCGCTTTAGGTCTGTATTTGCATTCGCTTTAAATCACGTCTATATCGCCGAAATCAGTAACCATCTCGTCTATAAAGATGTTTAAAAATAACCCCAACACATAAACACCATGTTATAGGGTAAATATGTATGAAATCAGT